TGCTCGTGGTTCTCATGTTGTTCCCGGGATTTTTGGGGCTGTGGCGCCTTGGGTTAGCGTTTGCTGCCGGTTGTCTCGCCTCCTTGGGGGGTGCGTGGTGTCCGCCTCTCGGTTCTGTCCCTTTGACCTTCCTCTGTGGGTAGTTAGCTCCGGGGAGCCGACGGGGCTCCCCCCAGAAAACCAGCGTTGAATGTAATGAAACGCCATTTTCTGGGTGAGACCCGGAGGCTCCCCGGCAACCCTCCCTCCCTCCGGTCAGCATTTTTCGCGTGTTTTGACATCCAGCCTCAGAACTGATGGGTGGATAGCCGGCGTGGGAGGTCTAGGGCTCCCCCCTTCCCCCTCCCGGGGAGGGGGGAGCTGCGCAGACAGCGGCGCGGTGACGTATGACATCATATTAGTTTTCTTGTTTTCTGTTGAAGCGTTCTATCCACTAGTTCGGCTTTAGGTAGCAATTTTCACCAGAATAGGGGTTTGTTTTGGAATGCTTACCTTTCTGGATGCTTGACCCGGTCGATGGCAGACATAGAATGCTTCCAACCACACGGGGGTTTCTATAGGCCATTGCTCCCCTTGCCTCTCTGAGGGGGCCAGGTTCTGGCTCGTGGTCCCCGGTAGGCCTTAGAACTCCATACATATGACTGATGCCAAAGTCTGACATTAGCATATCAGCCGGTAAAGCTCCTGGGAGCCTCCGGGTCTCACCCAGAAAATGGAGTTTCATTACATTCAACGCTGGTTTTTTACAATTTATTGTGTATTTTAATGGTATAGGTAACCTGGGAGAGCAATTCTTAAATGGGTAGATTTGAGAATGGAGATAAAAGAGAATAATAGGTTTTAATACCCTGATGTGTTTAACCTCTGTGATGCACCACGTTTATTGTAAATTTCCCTTATGCGGCAAAAACTTTGTAAAATGATAAATTCCTTTCCCTGAACATGTACATGTAAAAAACAAAACAAAAAATATTAAATTGTATTTACTTTGGCTGTGGGGACGTAGACAAAGTGGTGCGTGACATCATCACAGGCTGGTCACCCATGCGTGAAGCTCTCAGACACGGTCGTGCAGGCCATTCAAGCCTCACGAGTTGCCACAAATAATATTTCTATGTATTTTCAATGCTTTATAATTAATTTTTTGTATCATATCTGATGCATATGTGTCCTATACAATATTTATACAGTAGAACATTCATAATGTTCCATGGAACTGTGATGCAAGTGTCAGTAATGTGTCCACAATAAATGTTTATTGTCGCTATATTACTTGTTCAAAATTCTCTATAATTACATTATGTACAGTTTCACACACTATTTACACAGTAACACTATATCATACACTCAGTACTTGGCAAGTGAATGATATTCAAAGAAGCTGTCCATGTTATAGAGCGGGACTTCGCACTCGACGCATATGGTACACAAATTTTCGCTTCCTGGTTTTTCGTTCCGAGTTCTTGCAAGCAATGCACCCGCGTGCACCTTTGGCTTCAGTTCCTGTAGGTGGTAGGTAGGCAGGCTTGTGAATTTTAAAGCTATCTTTAACAGCCAGTCTGCTGGAAACTAAATGTGGTCTTGTGGGGGCATGAAAAACTGTCCTTACGCTGTCTTCTTGGCCATACTTGAGTAATTGCGACACCAGAGCCTGACTAAAAACTCAAATTTATGGGTTTTTGCTCGTTTCCACCAAGTACGTGTTGAAACAGTTGAGCACTGTTACGTCCAGAAGAATTTCCGTGTCCACTTTACACTTTTGTGGACACACTCAATGGCACCAACCATCATGTCACATTTATCTACAAGTCTCATATTTATATTGTAATCAATGACATAATATGGCTTATACAATGTTCCATCCACTCGATACTTCACTTTGCCACTGTTAAGCATTTCACCAGTGTGAGTAGTTGACAACATATTGACTTCACGTCTTTCTTTCCAACGCACTGCTAAGATCTTGTCACATTTTCCAAGTTTACAATCACCTACACCAATATTATTTTCAAAAACTGGCATTTCCTTCCTATGTGTCTTTACAGTGCCACACACTGTATCGAATTTACTCAGTTTCTATGATCGAGCAATAGAGATATTACAGGAAAGAGATGGTTGGGTTGACTGCATCTATCTGGACCTAAAAAAGGCTTTCGACAGAGTTCCACATAAGAAGTTGTTCTGGAAACTGGAAAATATTGGAGGGGTGACAGGTAAGCTTCTAACATGGATGAAATTTTTTCTGACTTAGAAAAATGAGGGCAGTGATCAGAGGCAATGTATCGGACTGGAGAAATGTCACAAGTGGAGTACCACAGGATTCAGTTCTTGCACCAGTGATGTTTATTGTCTACATAAATGATCTACCAGTTGGTATACAGAATTATATGAACATGTTTGCTGATGATGCTAAGATAATAGGAAGGATAAGAAACTTAGATGATTGTCATGCCCTTCAAGATGACCTGGACAAAATAAGTATATGGAGCACCACTTGGCAAATGGAATTTAATGTTAATAAATGCCATGTTATGGAATGTGGAATAGGACAACATAGACCCCACACAACCTATATATTATGTGAGAAATCTTTAAAGAATTCTTATAAAGAAAGAGATCTAGGGGTGGTTCTAGATAGAAAACTATCACCTGAGGACCACATAAAGAATATTGTGCAAGGAGCCTATGCTATGCTTTCTAACTTCAGAATTGCTTTTAAATACATGGATGGCGATATACTAAAAAAATTGTTCACGACATTTGTTAGGCCAAAGCTAGAATATGCAGCGGTTGTGTGGTGCCCATATCTTAAGAAGCACATCAACAAACTGGAAAAGGTGCAAAGATACGCTACTAAGTGGCTCCCAGAACTGAAGGGCAAGAGCTACGAGGAGAGGTTAGAGGCATTAAATATGCCAAAACTAGAAGGCAGAAGAAAAAGAGGTGATATGATCACTACATACAAAATAGTAACAGGAATTGATAAAATCAATGGGGAAGATTTCCTGAGACCTGGAACTTTAAGAACAAGAGGTCATACATTTAAACTGGCTAAACACAGATGCCAAAGAAATATAAGAAAATTATCTTTCGCAAACAGAGTGGTAGACGGTTGGAACAAGTTAGGTGAGAAGGTGGTGAAGGCCAAGACCGTCAGTAGTTTCAAAGCGTTATATGACAAAGAGTGCTGGGAAGACGGGACACCACGAGCGTAGGTCTCATCCTGTAACTACACTTAGGTAATTACGTTTAGGTAATTACACACCCGTGTTATGTTCAAGCAAGAACTTTGTTAACAAGGGGCTCATATAATAATTGTCAGTGTACAGAATGTGCCCCTTGTTCAGCAGTGGTTCCATGAGCGTCTTCACCTCACTGCCAGAAAACCTTTGAGGATCCTGTGCGGATATAGCTACGACCGTACCAAACTATAATATATCGATCACCATCCCGGTTTCACATTTGCACAGTACAAAGAATTTGAGGCCAAAAAGAGTGCCGTTTCGATGGGATGTACTGTTTGAGGACAAGACATCCCTTGAAGGAACTAAGGATTTGTCACTGACAACATTCTGTCCTGGTACAAAGTAATCATTTTATTTCTTTCTAATATCACTGAACACTTTTTGCACTCTCCAGAGTCGATCATTTCTATCAACATTTGCAATGTTTTCAAAGTGTAGGCAATAATCTTTGTTCCAATAATCCTGTATGACATGCTTCACCGAATGTTTCATGAGCATACACAGAGCAAAGAACACATACAGCTCAGCTATGGTCGTGTCCTTCCAACGTACTATACGTGAAACAGGTAATATGCCACTTGCAATAAGTGGAGATCAAACAGGGTCCTGGCTGTCAGATATTTTGTAAGTGTTCCAAGCCCTTTATGGCCTTGTGGGGCTCTGGGTCGTCTGTAGCGGCAATCGGCCTCTTCTTCGACTTGAGTCTTGTGATGTTACTGCCTCCCGGGTAAAACCCTGTTTTTCCCTCTTTGTGGGTAGTTAGCTTCAGGGGAACCAACCAGGCTTTCCCCAAAAAGCCAGCGTTGAACGTAATGAAACACCCTTTTCTGGGGGTAACCCTGGGGGGTAACTCCCTAACACCCTCCCTCCCTCTAGTTGTCGGTTTTTCCATCGGGCCTCGAAGTGAGGTGGTGAGAGGCCGGCCCACTTGGCCCAGCTTCCCATTTCCATTATGGGGGGAAGATTGCGCTAATGACGAGCAAGAGTGCTACATGAGGATAGAGTTACTAGTATCTTTTCTTTCGGCTAGAATGTCTTGGTGCTTTCTCGCTGTAGGTAGAAATTTTACCGGCTTGTTGTTTGTTTTGGTTTGCCTATCTCTCTGGGTGAATGCCCTGGTTGATGGCGGAATATGACATACCGTAAACATAAAGTGCTCATATACCACTGCTTCCTGTGCCTCTCTGAGCGCACCAGGTTTTGGCTCATGGTCCCTGGCAGGCCTAAGAACTCCTTGTTGAACCCCAAAGTAATACAGCACACATCAGTTTGGATAGCTTCAGGGAGCCTTCGGGGCTACCCCCAGAATAGGGCGTTTCATTACATTTAACGCTGGCTTTTTCCAGAGGATGTTGTGGCTCAGTTTTATCTTCTAATGCCGCTTCTTGTGTTTTCACTAGCTTAACTTAGGTCATGGTGACTCTTACCATCTTCCCTTACCATCAACCACATGCCTACCTCACCCTATCCTAGACCCTTCACATGCCAACCTCACTCCAGCTTGAACTCTCCATATGTCCCACTCATTTTTTTTTTTTTTTTTTTTTTTTTTTTTTTTGTTAATAGTGGGATATGCTAAGCATGGGACTTAAGTTGTTTTCCTCAGTCTGCTACCATAAACAGTCTCAAGTTATACTATTTAATTAAAATCACTGGTCTGTATTTTATATTTTAAATATTCTAATGTATGTTCATATTATTAGTATCTTTGTAGGCTACTGGATTTGTCTTTGATGTTAACTTGTATTGCTTCAGATTTCGTGAGCAACGGGAACACCTCCTTCGTGCACTAATGAGCCAGGATATCACAAACCTTGCCAAGTTGAAAGAAACGTGGACGCACGATCCAAAATGTAAGTTGCTATTCGTTTGGAAGCAGTAAATTATTCATAATTAGGTGTTTCTAATATAATTTTATTATAATCTTGTCTTGTTCATTTCTGAGCTGTTCCACTCGGTTGCTTCATAAGGAAATAGCCTACTTGACGCTGCAATCTGTGTTTCTGCCAAATCTTACTGGTGCTAGGGAGACACTGGGAATACTGCACTCACTGTGACCATGGAGTGATAGCACACAAAATGAGGTCAATGTGAATAACTGGTAAAGTAGGATGCTGGATTCTCAGTTTTCTGTCGAATAGAACACAAAGACTAACAGTCAACCATATAAAATCGAGTCCAAGCACAGTTAAACGTCCTTGCACCACTGCTTTTCCCTATTCTCATACAGTTTCAGATACAGACTCAAATACAAGGGACAGCTTCGTATCATCCTTTGCAGATGACACAAAAATCAGCATGAAAATTACCTCTGCTGAAAACACTGAAAAACTACAAGCAGATATTAAAAAGTTTTTGACTGGGCAGCAGAAAATAACATGATGTTTAACAGTGATAAATTCCAGATACAGTGGAACCTCTATTAACGAATTTAATCCATTCTGGCACCGAGCTCATTATCCGGAAAACTCGTCTTAAGAAACAAATTTCCCCATTTAAAATAAAGGAAATAAATTTAATCCATTCTACTCCCAAAAACATCCATACTTGTATGACGTTTTTTATGTAAATATAATTCTGCACATGTAATTATAAATGTTTTGTTGTACTGTTTTAATGATTACTTTACCTTCTGAAGAATCGTTGCTGGCTTGAGGGAGACGATGGGGAGGTGGGAAGGAGGAGAGGGGTTATGGTGTGGAAGGAGAATCCACCTCTGAGTCAGGCAGGCTCTCTCTTCTTGGGAATTTCACCCCACTGGGACTGGGTTGTGGTTCACTATCACTAGCTCTTCTTTTCTCTACTTTTGGAAAAAACGTTTCTATTGACAATTGCTTTTGTCTTTGTTTTAGGATGTCCCTAAAATGAGACAGCAAATTGTCATTAAACATGTTCACACACCGGGTTGTCACTGCTTGATCAGGGTGATGCTTTTCTAAGAATGCAGTCACCTTTTCAAACATTCCCAACACTTCCCTGATCTCACTTGAAGTGGCAGCAGCATCCTCCCGTACCTCCTCCTCCCCTGGTGAGAACTCTTGTGCCTCCTCTTGATTAAGCTCCTTCTGAAGTTCCAGGAGTTCGTCAATGGTCAGTTCCTCACTGTGCTCCTCCACTAACTCCTGCACATCAGCAGCATCCAACTCCAGACCCAAAGTTTGCCCCAGAGCAACAATATCATCCACAAGATGCACTTCTGGATCTTCCACAGGTGCAGATGCAGATGCAAGTGCAGGACTGAAACCTTCGAAGTCTCACTCAGGGACACCCTCAGGCCACATGTTACGCCATGCAGAGTTAAGGGTCCTTCGTGTCACTCCTTCCCAGGCCTTATCGATCAAACGTAAGGCACCCAGGATATTGAAGTGGTTCTTCCAAAATTCTTTGAGGGTCAGCTCTGTATTGTCGGTCACATCAACACACCTCTCCAACAAGGCCTTCATGTAGAGTTTCTTAAAGTTTGTAATGACTTTCTGGTCCATAGGTTGGAGGAGTGGAGTGGTATTGGGAGGAAGGAACTTGATGGTGATGAACTGATTTTCGGGATACAATTCATCTCGCATCTGTGGAGGATGTGCAGGAGCATTATCGAGCACAAGCAAGGCCTTGAGTGACAACTGTTTCTCTTCAAGATATTTCCTCACTGAAGGGCCAAAAACATCATTGACCCATTCAGTGAAGAATATCCGCGTCACCCAGGATTTCTTATTGGACTTCCACATCACATTCAGTCGTGCCTTGTACACTTTACATGCCTTGAACACGGGTGGATTTTCTGAGTGGTAGACTAGCAGCGGCTTGACCTTGCATTGGCACAGCACGAGAGTAAGTCGATCCTTCATTGGTTTGTGGCCAGGCAACGGTTGTTCCGCCTGTGTGATGTAGGTCCTCCTCGTCATTTTCTTCCAAAACAGGCCAGTCTCGTCACAATTAAAAACTTGTTGGGGCAAGAACTCCTCTCTAGCAACAAATTTCTGGAACTGGTACAAATTTCTCAACAGCAGCTTTATCAGAGCTGGCAGCCTCCCCATGTTGCACAACACTGTGGATACCACTTTAAATATCTCCTCCTCTTCAGACGATGCACCTGGTGTCTTCCTGACAAGGTCCACATACAACTTCTTGGCCTTTGCACAGACAAGAGCTTCAGACACACTATCGCCATGTAATTGCCATGTAATTCCCTTTCATTCATCCAGACTAGCAGCAGCTTTTCAACCTCTTCTAGGATTTGTGGACGTTTCTTATTAACCTTGGTAACTCCTTTAGCCACCTCAAGCATCTTAAATTGTTCCTTCCTCTTCAGAATGGTACAAATCGTTGATGAGGACCTGCAATACTCCCTGACAAGATCAATCACACACACACCACGCTCGTGCTTTGCTATTATTTCCTTCTTCACTTCCACGGTAATTGTCGCTTTCTTCCCCCTTGCCAACACTGTCTTTAGCAAGCAGCTTCTTTGGCGACATCGTGCGTTACAAATTGCAGTCACAAAACCACACAAAAAAAAAAAGCAAATAAATCCAGAGGGATGCTTGTCGTGTGAGATACAACAACAACACTGGCGTCGGAGGCGTCCGAGAATTTGCGAGAACCAGTGAGACGCTAGGAAGCACCGTGTGGTTTTGCTCGTTAATATAGGTGAGCTCGTCAATAGAAACAAATTTGCTGCAAGTGGCTCGCTTGTTACTGGAAATGCTCGTAAATAGAGCCGCTCGTTAATTGAGGTTCCACTGTACTCTAGTACGGTAAAAATGAGGACCTTAAACATAATACAGGGTACAAAACACAGTCAAATTTGCCCATAGTAGGAGAGAAGCATGTAAAAGATTTGGAAATAATGATGTCTGATGACCTAATGTTTAGGAAGCATAACCAAGCAAATACTGCGTCAGCCAGAAAAATTATAGGATGGATTACGGGAACGTTCAAATCCAGGAATCCCATCACAATGGTTGTACTCTTCAAATCACTTGTGTTGTTCCATCTTGAGTACTGCTCAGTACTCACTTCCCCCTTTCAGAGCAGGAGAGATTACAGTGGATGAGTCTGGAAAGAGACAGATCACACGTCTGTGATCTCCTTTCTGGTCACCCCCTCCTCCAACCTCACGCTAGCCTTCCTAACTCACCTCCACTTGTATCAACACATGAGTGTTGACATGCTGTACGATGACTTTGACATAATCGCCTTAAGTTCTGTTAAATCCCATTTTATATTCTTGTAAATATTTAAATGAATAAATAGCAAACCAAATACTGTTCTGTTCAAATATTATATTGTGTTTTTAATATTTGTAACTAACTCTCCACGCCAATAAGAAAACAATATCATTCTTGCAACACCTTCAACGCCACCTTCCTTCGGTAGGTAGGCTTAAGCGAGTCACATCTGGTACCCACACACTCAACACGTTCTCCCTCCCCCCCCCCTCCATTCCTGACCGACTCCCTCCTTCCCTCCCTTCCTGACCGACTCCCTTTCTCCTTCCCTCCATCCCTTCCTGACCGACTCCCTGTCCGACTCCCTCCCTCCCTCCCTTCCTCCCTTCCTTCCTGGTGGTGGTGTACAACAAATGTTAGGCCCAGCATTTCACTTGTTTATCTCTCAGTGGTAAAGGTTCACATTAGCACATTTTCAGGATTAACGTACTTTTTCACCTTTCACCGAGGGAGTCCAAAAGTGACCATTTCCAAAAATGTTTGTACAGATAGCCACTTGGTTTGCAAACTTAAGTTACATGAAGGCAAGCAGGCAGGTAGCTAGCAGAAGGTATAAAAAGGTATAAAAATACTTGTTTCATGAATGCTTTATTGTATTAGATCAAAATTCTCCAGGCTGGCAATCTACTGCTACCTACAGAAGGATCTCTTGGGAAGGGAGGGAGGCAGTGAATGTAGGCGGGACACAGCAAGTGAGCAGCAGTAAGGGTGACTCCCTCCCTCCCTGGTGGTGGTGTACAACGAGTGTTAGGCCGCTGATCCAGGCAAATATCTGCTAGTTCGGCTTCCATGGGTACTTTGGCCAGATAAGGAGATAACTTTATCCGGCCACCATTTTTGCCGGATTAGGGCATTTTCTGGATTGGCGGATTCCGGATTAGTGAGCTTCTACGGGACTGAGTGAGTCACGAAGGCTGGCGCACGCAGCGTGAGCTCACATCACTACTGTTCAGCTTTGTGACCACAGCATCGTCTAAAAATGTAAAAAATATATGTAAATGGTATTATTTAGCAATGATAGTATTACAGAAAACCCCTGACTAATACAAATGACCAGGATTCTGATAATAGCAGGATTGTTGTGATAATTTGCGCTGTGTTTACAGTCCTTGCACCGCTGCTTTTCCTTGTTCTCATATCAGATATAGACAAAAATACAAGTCACAGCTTCGTATCATCCTTTGCAGATGACACAAAAATCAGTATGAAAATTACCTCGGCTGAAGACATTGAAAAACTTCAAGCAGATATTAATAAAGTTTTTGACTAGGCATCAGAAAATAACATGATGTTTAACAGTGATAAATTCCAGGTACTCATGTACGGTAAAAAGGAGGACCATAAACAAAATACAGGGTACAAAACACAATCAAATGTGCCCATAGTAGGAAAACAGCATGTAAAGGATTTGGGAAAAATGATGTCTGACGACCTAACGTTTAGGGAGCATAACCAAGCAAATATTGCGTCAGCTAGAAAAATGATAGGATGGATTACGAGAACTTTCAAATCCATTGATCCCATCACAATGGTTGTACTCTTCAAGTCACTTGTGTTGTCCCTTCTTGAGTACTGCTCAGTACTCACTTCCCCCTTCAGAGCAGGAGAGATTGCTGAAATAGAGGGAA